GCTCCTAGACGGCTAGCATCGCCCGTCAAAGCACTACATCCTCTTGCGGGTCCTCCGAGAAGTTTGTAATCGCCCTGAGATTCTAGTAAGAACTCTCAAGCTAGAGACTTGCTCTCTTGCTTTGAGAAGAGGATAAGGTTTGGTGAAACCCAAGCCTTGGTGGCTTCCTCAACAACGTGGAGTAAGCAAGCCTTTCTAGCGAGATGAACCATGGGATATACCTTGTCCTTGTGTTCTTGCCATTGTTTTTGTGCTCTAGTTTGTGTTGGTTTTGATATTAGGGTTTGCTCCCAATCTACTTGTACACGAGCTCACTACCTTGGAGAAGTGGTGGAATAGGACCTATCTACTACCAGGAACAAAAGTATTCCACTCGATCCACTTTTCCCTAGCAAATAATGAATTATGATTTTGAGTTGCTCTGATACACGAAAGTGCCGTAGTTGTACCCGGAACTTCTGTGTCGTGGCAGTTCTGTGCACAAGTGCAGCAGTGCCACGCCTGTTGCTAACCGCTGCATTGAGTTTAATTTTTAAATAGGCCTATTCAACCCCCCCCCTCTAGGCTTGCCTGATCCTTTTTAGCTTCATAAATGATTTTGCATTGGGAACCCAACATCTTTTAATAGTTTCTTTGTCTCTTATATTTTTCTCACTTGGAACTCTTTATTTTCTTAATTTACTCATGCGTCCAATTTACTCCGATCTCCTGAGAAAAACACCAGATAGGGAGCGGATATGGAGTTTTCTCTCGACTGTGGAAACTCACGAGTTGGAGAGGATATTTGACAAGTTTTATTTTTAAGGATCTCTTTTACCAAACCGTTGGAGGAGTTTTTCCTTTTTGCTAAAAAATAAAATAGGGAGTTGTTTTCCAAAACTCCTCCAGATGCTCTAAATGATTAGCCGATTCCACTAGTACACATGTGGCCTTCAATCCCAGTTGCCAACCGGGATTGCGGACCAAGGACTAAAGACCAAGCCCATCCTTGAAACTAAAAAAATAGTTTCAATCCTAGAGACCTCTTCTTGCGGTGCGTGAGATTCGAACCCAAGACCCCTTGCCTCGCGCGTAGCTTACTTACCAACTCAACTGCACACAACATGTGACAAAGTCTTGGGCGCTCTCCTTTTGAATTCACCGTGAGGAACCTTTAGTCCCAGGTGGGAGACCTTAAATCCCAGTTAGTGACACCAATCGAGACTAAAAGGTCACTATTACCAAGCGGGACTAAAGGTTGACCTTTAGTCCCAGTTGGTAACATCAACCGGGACTAAACGGTGGTTTTTAGTCCCAGTTGGTGTTACCAACCGGGATAAAAGAGTCTTCAGTGCCTGTGAAATTTAGATCCGGGACTAATGCTCACATTAGTCCCGAACCCAAACACAACCAAGACTAAAGGTGTGAACCTAAAGTCGTTTCTCTACTAGTGTTCCTAGTGCCCACATATATACATGTGTATAGGGTAACTCTTTTTTACGCATGATATTTTCTCTAAAACGCAGGAGAGCTGTGCTTCATTGTATTAAGAAGAAAAAAGTAGGGCAAGAGCCCTCTTACAACTCACACACCACACACACCGTAAAAAAATTTACATTCGCGCCTTGGACAAAAGAAAAATATGACCTTATACTAGTGTAACCCTAATCTCCAGGGAGGGGGTAGTCAAGAGGGATAATCCTGAGCCCCTGTCATCACCCAGAGACGCCTTTCGTCACCAAAACTCATCAATGTACCAACAAGATTAGGTGCTACTCCATCAAACACACAGCAATTCCGATGATTCCATAGAGTCCAAGCACCAAGAATTATAGTGGAATTAACCCCGTCCTTGACTAAGCCGCTGGCTGCTTCATCTACCTTTTTCCACAATAATACAAAGGATGTATCACTTTTTTTAGACATGATAAGGACTTCTGATCTCGTTACCTTCAAAAACCAACATCCATTTGGTTAATATGAGGAGCCTAATCTGTGCGTCCAATCTAGAATTTATAGTTTGGTCATATAATGGAATTTAAAAGCTCTTCAGAGTATCTTGAGATTAACTTTTTTTGTTTGCAGGTAAAACTTAATGATAATTTCACCAACAAGAAAAGCATTACAAGTCATTGCTACAGAATAGCCTATAGATCAATGGAACGTTCGCGGTCACAGACGAGGAGATTAACAATCTTCAGGTACATGCAACAATTCTCATGGAGTGATTTTAAGTAGGGTTGAGACAAAAGCAGCTAGTTCTGCTGTTATACCCATGAACTAAATTTTGCCTCTTTATATGTAAAATCCATTAAAAAGTTTTTTATCTAGAAAATGCACCATTTGTTTCCGTATTGATCACGTTTTCCATTCTGTTTAGGGGGGGGAAATTGGTACAATCATATCTTGTAATTCATAAAGACGATGTGTTGTATGTTGCTCACTAAGGCCTTCCCAACGCTGCTTTTTTACTAGTAGCACCAAGTGCCGCGTAGGATCGGATAAAAAAAGTAGGTGCACTATACTTGTCATAGTGGCTTGCAGAAGCTACATATGCTTGGGGAGAGAGAAGATGGTCCATGCTAAAAAACAAGATTAAGAGAAAATAAAGGTGAGGTATGATGAAAGGAAAAAGTTTCTTTGCAAGCCACAAGTAGTGATAATTTGCATTGTGTGAATAGTAGTCTCAATATTTCCCAGTCTATGTGAATTACTTTATTTGTACTAGAACCACTAAGAGTGTTAGCCTCCATTGGTGGTGTCCTAAGGGCCCGTTTGATAGGGATCCATATTCTCGTAGAAACGTTTCGATTCCAGATTCTTGCAAGAAATATTTTGGGTGATGAATCAAAATCACTTTACGAGACCCCTAAGTTTTTGCTGGTAGCGTAGAATATGATGACTCTTATGTTTGCAGTAGTCAGAGTTTGTGCCATTGTTCACACTTGCACTGTCCATGTACATATTTCATCAAATGATCCAAGCATTATAGTGTTCTCTGTGGTGTTTGTGTTTTGGTACAATCAGATGATATGATCCTCTAAGGCTATGCTGAGTCTTAATTCTGTTCTAATTTCCAAATACTCCCAAAAACTACATCTGAGAATTGAGCTAGTTTCAGGGGCTTGGGTTGTTCATATATCACTAAAATTCTGAATCCATCTATGAAGCAAGAGAATTTGATGTTCCTTGCACAGGTTTACATGTTGTCCAGATCTCGATACTCAGTGTTCCAAATGATTTCATATTAGATCAGTTTCAGGTTATCCTTCAATCCTCAATATGGAGAAAAGGATACTGAATGTATGCTAATACAACACAGTAAGGAAAAAACGTGTCACAGTGCGAATCCACAGTGAGCGTTCATGTTACTATCATTGACAATGCCGCACAGTACGCAGATGATCTGAATGCAAAATGTTGGTCTCTGAAGAATAATGCAAGACTATGATCTGAATGCACACAAGGTCACATGTATTGAGAACTGTTTTAGGTGCCACATCAGATGAGTACATAAAAAACTCTCCGTTCATATGCTATGTTTGTGAAACAAATTTTTCCTATGAGAGTAGCGCCAAAGTATAAATTATTACCGTTCATATGCTATGTTTGTGAAACAAAATTTTTCCTTTGAGAGAATTGCCAAGTATAAATTTTACCGATAAATAATTACAATCACGTCATTTCAAAATCTAGAATGTGGTATGGCAAATCTGTAGGAGTTCGGCTTCCCAATCCTTAAACATCCCAATGGGTGCTTATCTTCTCCCTTCTCATCACGATTGATGAATGAAAAATGATGTGAAAATTCGGCTAGAGTATGCCGTTCAACTGTTGGACTCCCAACATTATGCAATTTTGGGTGGTACTAGATAGCAGTCATTCCTGCAAGTTCACGCAGTTTCTCGCACACGACGAAGGTGATCGTTGTCTGAGGGCCTAATCTCGCAAATGTGGCAAATCCGCTGAAAATATACGAGCTTGTTAGGATGGGAAGCTGTAAAATTAATGCAAGTTGAGTAACTCAAGATTTGTATTAGCTGAAATAGCGAGTGCCATGACGAATCATGTACTAAAGCACTTCCAATATACAGATTTAACAATGAAAGACAGCATGAATTTCGACTCCAAATATAATGCTTTAAATAATTCTGACGCAAACTGTGGCTGATAATCTGTGAAGCATTATACTTTGCTGGTCTTTCATTAGCTCATTTTCCAAGATATGCTGGTAAAGCTAGCATGTTCATTTTTTGTTTAAAAAGCTAAAACTAAGTACAAATAAAGATAGCATGTTTAACAAATCAAGCTGATGAGTAAACAACCATTGTCATAACAATATAAAACTTATAAATGTGGTACATGCAGTTCTCACCCTTTATAAAGTGACTTCACACCCTCTGTCACCACAACCTGCAAGCCAAGAGAATGGAAATAAATATTAGAAGAATACCTTTATGTTGTTGGTGCTCAAGGTATTGTATTTCCAATCTCCTCAGTTGTAACATTCCTTTTCTCATCTTGTGACAATAGTTCACTACTAAGTAGTAGCTTAAGGCCCTGTTAGTTTGAGCTTTTGGCCATTTTTAGACAATTAGCTTTTGGACATTCCAAAAGCAAAACAGCTCCCACAAGCCAAAAGCCCAGAAGCTCATGGCTTTTGGCTTCCGGGAGTTTTTTTTGGCTTTTGAAAGGTCCAAAAGCTCCCAAGAAGCCCAAACAAACAGGCCCTAACAATTTGGCAGTGCTTCCAGGCACTTATAGAAAGTAATTTTAGCAATGTTTTACCAGGAGCAATTCCTAATACCACAAACATCAAAATGAAAGATTAAGATCAACACCTGGTAAGCACAATGAAATCCATTCCTGTATAATCTGACACCTTTGGACTCCCGTTGCAGCATTAACCGTGTTTTGATCATGTCTACAGGTCACAAGAGTACCAGCTGTTCCAGCTATGCAACTCGAGCTTCCAAGCAGATAAAGATTAGCCATCCATTCATCTCATTAAAGGATAGACATCATAATATAGAAATAGAGAATTCACTGTACATGAGGTGTAATTGAAACCCTTCTTCAAGTGGTGTCCACTTCATTAATGCCTATAATGAATACAGATGAAGAAAGATCTTAGAACTGACATATTGAAGTAAGCAACATATTTATTCCTTTATAACAAATATATAATACAGATAATAGAGACCTGCTTGGCCTCCTCGTAAGTTGCCATTTGTGATGCGGTGAGGCAACCTGCTCTTGCCATTGCTGGGCCAACTCCTTTCCAAAGTGCTTTGAACCCTTCATGCGCTAAAACTTTCCTCATCTCGCCTATTGTACTGGTACTGCTTTTACTCATCTGCAACCTCACCTACAGTATGTATTCAGTTCAGATCCAGTACATAAAACAAGCCACACTTCTGAAGTGAGTTCATATCAAGATAGAGTACCTTCAAAACCTCCATGGGATTTGCTAAAGCAGTTGCAAGGCCCCCAGCAATGACTCCAGATGCAAATTTAAAAGCAAAGTTTGTTGAACCAAATGCATAACTGCAGACATGCTTTCAGGGCTCATACAATCCTAACCGAAGGCCACCATAGACAACAGATCTTGTCAACGCTGGTGCAAGTCCCAGGTAGAGTGATCGAGTCCCTTCCGCTTCAACCATTTGTGTAAATATTGTTCCCTAACATACACATATAACTAGGAAATGAATTTAACATCAGAAGAAGTGAAAAATATGAAACCTGTAGGTGCTGTGAGTACCATTCCAACTAAGTTTCCTCTTTGCCCAGCAAGCTGCATTTGAAGCCTGACTTTGATAACATCTGCAGGACGAAAGTGGTGGTAGACCTATATAAAGAGTAACTTATTTCCTGGACAAACAATACATATTGTATTTTGTAATAAAATTAGAAGCAAAGAAATGTACAGTTAATAATTGTTATACAAGTCAATTTAGACCTATGTACTCAATTCTTGGTCCTGGTACCAGTTACCAAATACCCTGTAAAATCATGGAATGTGCAATTCCAATATAATAACCAACTCTTTTAGGATGAAGGTTCTACAATTTTTCCTGTGCGCCATCCTTGACAATACTCAAACATTGTACATTTAGTATATCATTCTCCTCATCCATATGTGGTGGTCGTTTTTTTTGCATACAACGGTTATATACTCCAGTCCAGATAACACGACTATTTGTCGCCTTCTTGAAAAGGGGGATAAACCCATATTAAATGTTTTGAGTGGCTGAATCCAGCGGCATATTAAATCTTTTTTCTACTGGAAGAAAAAAAGGCATCAGCCTGCCAATAACGATCATAATCATATATGCTTCACCATAAAGCAAAATGATTCCATACCCATGAGCACTCTTTTGGCACAGCCAGTTATGCCGCTGAAGTTATACCTGAACTCTCAACCTAAAATCATGGTTTCTTGGCATTTCATTTCCTGCAGGAAAATACCTACTTGCATTTATTAGGCACATTTTCCCAATTAGTATAGACAGCTACACTATCTAGACGGCCTCATCTTTCCCTAAGCAGAGAGTTGAGGCGAGAATTTCAAACGAAATCCAGAATTAGCACCCGAATCATACATGCCAATTTCCTTGCTGTCATTCCCCAATCGAAACCCGAGGCAGCTCAAGCATAGCAAATTACCCAAAATAACAAGCAACAGATGAGAGGAAGAGCAGCTAGCTGACCGAGTGGATGGGTGACGGCGATGGTGGCGGTGACGGCGGCGCCGCTGGTGCCGAAGTGGTACAGCCCGTACCGCCCCGGCAGCGGCTGTCGTGCGTCTCCGTACCCCGGCCGCATCACGGCGCCCTCCTCAGTTCAGATCCCCTTTGAAAGAGAACGGCGCCGAAAATCTTGGCGCTAATGGAGACGGCGGCCAGCGACTCTTGGATTGCTAATTCGATGGGAGGAGCGAAAAAAAAATGCCAAAGAGAGAGAATTTTCACGTGCTACGTATCGATTGCGTCGTTTGCAATGGCAACGTCTTTCCGTCTGATCGCTTGGTCATAACGAACAGTATTTTTATCCCACGCTAAATTAGTCGATAGTATTTTTAGTCATGGCTTATAAATCAAACCAACCTAAATAAATAGGGTATTTATTATCGGAGGTTTTTACCCATGTATCATTATAAAAGTTGGTAACTATTTACCAGCCATTAAAAAAGTAGAGTTCTCATATATACCATTGTTGTGAACTCTTTTGCTCTTCACGTCACTTACGTTAGATTTGACTTTAACGGTATCAAACCGTGGTTGTGAAAAGTCCAAACTACCCTCAGGTCTAAATATGCAATTAATTTTTTTGAGCATCTTCATGATCTCAAATGAAAAAACTCAAAACTAGAAAGTTGTAGATCTCGACAATATCTACAATTTTTGTATAAAAATTATCTTCATTTAATTCTGTAAAAAAATTATGAATTGATATCATTAATGTCTTAGAAAAATCACATTTTTTACGGAATCAAATGAAGATAGTTTTTTTATAAAAATATTGTAGATCTCGACGAGATCTACAACTTTCTAGTTTTGAGTTTTTTTATTTGAGATCATTAAGATGCTAAAAAAAGTAATTGCATATTTAGACCCGATGGTATTTTCGACTTTTCACACCCGCAATTTGACACAGTTAGAGTCAAATCTGACAGAAGTAGCGTGGAGGGAAAAAGAGTTCAGAGCAGTGGCACCTATGAGAACTCAACTTTTTTAATGACTTGTGGGCAATTACCAACTTTTATAATGACACACAAGTAAAAGCCTCTTATTATTGCTATTCTTTTCAGTCGCGCATCGGCAATACTTCAATATATGAAAACTCTCCTTTCTTTTTCTGAAAAAAAATATATATTTCAACACTTTGTTGGGTTGATCTCCACCAATTGATCCAACACGGCCAATTGAGCTCTTGATCCTGATCGAGGGCGCTTAGCCTTTCTATTGGCTGATGGACCCCTGTCGCGTAGCGCAATAAATAAGAGATGGGGGGTCGGGCTCGAGATACGAGGTTCACCGCAGCCGCCAGCCCCTCACCGATGTCCTATCCTGATCGGGGGCGCTGTAAGCGACGGGAAACGCCATCGCCTTCGTCGCCGCCACTGGACCACGCCTGCACGGCTTCTCCAACTACGACCCCATTGGCCACGTCACTGCGGCGCCATGGCCGCGACTGCGCTTGGCAACCCAAGTCTTCTATCTAAGTTAAGTATTTACCCACTGATCTACACCTAGAGGTCCAATAAAATCCTATCAATGATATCAGAGCCAGATTAACTTGGCGTAGATCTAGCTCTTGGAGTAGATCAGAACAAGAAAGTTGAAGGAGGGGATTCGATTTGCAGAAACGGATCGAAACCCTAACCCACTAGGGAGTGCGCGCTCCGGCGAGGGGCGAGGGGACTCGCAGCGACAGGTCACTTCGATCTAGGGTTTAGGGCGAGCCCTCACTGCAGCGTCTGTGGGGACTAAGAGCACGAGCCGCACGAGTGCACCGACGAAGGGTGCCACGACGGTGCCACCACTCTTCTCTCCGACCATTTCGGGTGAGAAGGGGAGAGAAAGCCGACACCGCGACAAAGAGAGAGAAAGTGAAGTTAGGGTTTTGGGGAGCTCTGCGGGCTCGAGGGTCAAGGGTGTCGCAACAAGGCCGCTCGACGACGCCGTGCTCACCCTCGGGCAAGCGCGCGCGTCAGCGAGGGGCCCCGTAGTGGCGCCGCCACCTCTTCCTCCGACCTCCACGGGCGGCCGTCGCAGTCGCCACTCTACGTCTTGGCACTGAGGAGAGAAGAGGGAAGGAGAATGACGAATGGACCTAGGGTTTCCACAGGGGAGCGGTGCAGCGCCGGTTCCGAGCGAGATGCACGGGCGACCGTCAGATTTAGATCGACGGCTGAGATCGCTTGGGTCGTTAGCTGGGCCTACGGGTGAGCGCGCGCAGAGCAGAATTCTGGCTCAGGCCCAGGTTACGGCCTGGGATGTGGAGCGCGGCAGTGTGCGTTTGGCCATGGGTCGGCACACGGGAGCGTAGTTGCGAGATGGGTCGTGGGCCACTTGGCCACGGGCCGGCAAGCGTGAGCGCCTGATGGGTCGGGTTGAATGCACAGTAAAGGTTAAGAATTTGTTTATTTATTTTCATAAGCGAATTTTGATTAGTTTTTCATCTCTATTCAATTTTGAACCAACGAGATAAATTGTTTAGGGAGTAGATAAGTACAAAGTAAAATGCTTCTAAAAAGTAGATAAATTATTTTTTCATGTTTTCGCTGTAAATCTTAATGCTGATTATCTTCTAATTAAATTCGAACCAACGGGAGAATTTAATTTGAAGAACAGTTACTTTTAGTAAATTATGATTATGTTTATCCTCTAATTAAATTGGAACCAACAGAAAATTTTAAATTAGAGGAGTAGTCCGATTTGTTTATGTTAAATTATGGTATTGTTATTTTCTGACCAACGTTGATGATAACAATATTATAATGAGTTTAAGGTTGAAGTTTAAATCTCTGATAAATTTTACATCAACATGATCAATTTTTCAGAGAGTAGATAAAGGCCAAGAAATGCTCCTGAACTAATAGAATGTATTTTATTATCGTGTTTCGCTGCAATGATGTTGATTATCTTCTAATTAAATTCGAACCAATATGAGAACTTAATTTTGAAGAGTAGTTATATGTCTTTAAGTTAATTTATGAGTTTTATGCATTAATTATATTTTCTGCCCAACGACGATGTAGAATTAATGCAGAAGCACCTCGTATGTTTTTACCATCGAGATCACTCGGTTGTAAGTCAACAGGGCTGCAATACTAGGGTATGTGAATGGAAAGGCTTGAGTCAAGTTAGTTCAAAATTGTTTTTTTGTTAGTTTACTAATTTTCTGATTAAATTAGAACCAACGGGACGATTTAATTAAAATTAAAGAAATAAGTGAATATTTTAGTCGTCATGACTAAGTTTTCGTTATAGTAAATTGTGTATAGATTTATCCCGCATAGGGAGAAGTTTTGGCATAGTACTTATGCTAGTCAATCCTGCATGACGGGAGAAGTTTTGTGATGATTCACGTGTTTTGTATCCCGCATAGCGAGAGAAGTTTGGGTAGCTCTTATGCTATCCTAGTATTGACCGTGGCATAATAGAAATGCATCGTCATGGTCAATACTAACCAAAAGATAAGAAAAGATGCAAGCATGACTTGCAAAAGTACTGCTAATGAAAGACCTCGTTGAGTTCTTGAAGTGAAATAAAGAAAGTGTACTCCTAAACGGATCAAGAAATAACTTTGTTTATATGACATAATCATGTGAATAAAGTAAGTTATAAGTGTCTCCTCGTTCACAGGTTTTCTGAATAGTTCTTGAAATTATGGCAGTAAAGTTCATGTCATATTTCGAGGGGAAGAATATTAAGATCAATTAAGAAAAATACTCTTCATTAAGAGTGAGATAAAGATTAATTAAGAAAGATACTCTCCATTAAGAGTGAGATAAAGATTAATTAAGAAAGATACTCTTTATTAAGAGTGAGATAAAGATTAATTAAGATATATGCGACCGTCGGAGGAGTACAACGGTCACAACAACGATACCCCTAAGAGCAAGTAATAGCTAAATTCCTGAACTTTTTTAAAGTTTCGATAGAAAGATAGCGTAGTCAGCCTCAAAGATGTCAAGGTGGTGCTTACAGCGTCATATGAGGTTTTAACAGATTAAACCCAAAATAAGAAATTTAAAGGTACATTATCTTTACAGAAGATGGAAAGATCTAGGGGAGCATAGTATGTAGAGGTATGTAGAGACCTAAGACTTGAAGAGAAAAGGGACTACGTGCCCACTCCAGTGACTTAAGAGCAACAAGTTTCTCAATACCTGTTGATATTGTATGACTTATACAATACCTATTGTTTGCTCTTCGAAGAAGATGAATAATGTAAACAAGGATTTTGTTATACAGGAGCCTGTAGAATCAATTGTCTCTTGGCAATAAAGAGCAACAACAGCCCCATATGAAAGTACCAGTAGCTGAGGCCCCACAAGGTCTCAAAGAATTAGTAAACCAGTTTTCTGATGACTATGAAGTCTATGTTAGTGAAGAAATTTAAATGGAGGGTGATCCCACCTCATTTGAAGAAGCCATGAGAAGCGTTTACTCGTCTAAATGGCAAGAAGCTATGGAAGTTGAAATGAATTCAATGAATACCAACGATATTTGGGACTTAGAAATAATTTCTAATGGAGCCAAAATAGTAGGTTGTTAATGGGTCTACAAGATAAAATATGACACCAAAGGGAATGTAGAAAGATATAAAGCACGACTTGTAGCAATATGCTTTACGCAAAGAGAATGAATATACTACAATGAGAGTTTTTTCTTCAGTCTCATGCAAGGATTCTTTTAGAATCATAGGCCCTGTTCGCTTGTCTTATAATCCGTACTTTTTAGCTTGTCTTTTTAGTTAGAACAGTGCTTTTCTCTCACAACAAATCAGTCGAAACAGTGTTTCAACTTATTTTTTCAGCGAAGCGAACGGGGCCATAATGGTGTTAATGGCACATTATGATTTAGAGTTATATCAGATTGATGTAAAGACGACATTCCTCAACGGAGATTTGTATGAAAAGTTTACATGGCACAATCCAAAGGTTTTGTCATGGAAGAAAAAGAACATATGGGATGCCGCCTGCAGAAATCCATTTATGGGTTAAAACAAGTCTTTAAAGAAAATAAGAAGGACAATAGCGTTTTTGCGAAGTACAAGAATAGAAAATTCTTTTTCCACATCCTGTGTCTAGATGACATCCTACTCACTAGCAGTGATGTTAATCTGTCATTGGAGAAGAAGAGGTTCTTGTCCTCAAGTTTCAATATGAATGATCTTGGTGAAACGTCATTGTTTCTAAGAATTAAAATACTCCGAGATAAATGAAAGGGGTATTAGGACTATCGCAAAAGCATACTTAGAAAAGATTCTAAAGAAATAAAGTATGCATGCAAATAAACCTACGCCTGCTCCTATAGTCAAGGGTAATAGATTTGGGAAGTTCAGTGTTCTAGGAACCGATATGAAATCGATCAAATGAACATGGTTCCAGATGCTTCAGCTGTTGAAAGCTCAATGAGTGTACAAGTAAGAACTTACCCTAACGTAGCTCACATATCCGGAATGTTTTGGCAGAAGTCCAATCCAGATATAGATCACTAGAATGGAGTTAAGAATGTCTTGTAATTTTGTAAAGTATCATAGGCCTCATGCTGAATAAGAAAGAACAAGTACTCTCAAATAGTTGTGGGTACAAATGTTAAACCTTGGCGAGATGTGTAGTAAAATCCACAGTAGTTGCTAATACTCACAGTTGGAGTAATATTGTGGAAAAGCTTCAAAGAAACAGTTGTGGTGTTATCAATGATGCATACCATAGTATAGCTTGTCATGAGGCTTCGGGACCATGCAAAATGTGGTTAAGGGAATCTATACCCGGATTTAACAATGGTAGACAACAGCAATAACTATTTAAAGTAAGTTAACTCCTAAGACAACAAATCAAGTGTGCTGTCAAACACATTAACAATTGGTTATATGTTGTAAAGGAGAAAATCCAGAATTATTTTGAAAGCATTGAGCATATAAGTACCAAACAAGTATTTGTAGATCCGCTTACCAAAGGCTTACCACCCAGTACGTTCAGAGAACACACAATCGACATGGATTTATAGGAAAGCCTATGATTTTTGAATGCTAAAGGCCTAGTTAAGTATCTGTTTCAAAACAGAGAGGTGCATTGTAGCTATTAAATCTAATGGCAACTGATCGTGACAATGAGAAACGCTCTATGCACTGATCTGTGATGGAATGAAAAAAAAAGGAAGGTAAGTTTAAGTCATAAGGTGAGATCAAGGGGAGATGTTAGGTTGATCTCCACCAACGACCAATTGGGCCCTTGATCCACGCCCTGATGGGGGCGCTCAGCCTTTCTACTGGCTGATGGGCCCCTGTCGCACAACGCAATAAATAGGAGGTGGGAGCTAGGGCTCGAGATACGAGGTTCACCGCAACCGCCAGCCTCTCACCGATGTCCTATCCCTAGACCGATCGAGAGGGGCGCTGTAAGCGACGGGAAGCACCATCGCCTTCGTCGTCGCCACTGGACCGCGCCTGCATGGCTTCCCCGACTACGACCCCAGTGGCCACGTCGCTGCGGTGCCATGGCCACGACTGCGCTTGGTGACCCAAGTCTTCTATCTAAACTAAGTATTTACCCACTGATCTACACCTAGAGGTCCAGTAAAATCCTATCACTTGTCTTGAAAGGTGATTCCTTTACAATTATTCGCAGTTGGTTGGATGCAAGTTAGGCTGTTATCCGTTTCGTAGGGTCTATCAATAATTTAGCATAAGTTAAATGACACAGACAAGAAAGAAACAGAAGTGAGCAGTGAGAAACAACTTTGTGGATGGAAAGAAAAGTATTTGTCTACCTATATTCATGCTCTCTTTCTATAAAGTCCCTAGGGGTGTATTGAAGAAAAAAATAGAGTATTATACACATCAAATCTATTTCTAACTAGTATACCAGATGGGCGAAAGCAGACTTTGGTGAGTTAATCCGAAAAGGTGAGTGGTTGGCGGAGATTGTAGGACCGATGGTCTGAACTCCGCCCGTGAAATGCGAGGCGAAGTGTTTCAGAAAGACTTTGTCCTCCTTTCTGTTATGCAATAAATCCAGTATATTAAGATCAACCATTCATTGGTTTGCGGGTTCTCTAGGAAGCTCCCCAAAGAAGCTCATGCTGCTCTCTTTTCCGAAAAGGGCTAAATTAGAGAAGGTCATACTTCGGATGAATCTAAATAACTTGTTCAGATGAATCCAAATAACTTGTCCCCAGAGAAGTCATACTTTGGACGAATCCAAATAACTTGTTCTCTAGGAAGCTCCCCAGAGAAGCTGCACAAAAGGAGTAAAGCCTAGTCAAAATAAGTCAACCTTTTTCTAATTTAGCCCTTTCTTGAAAAAAAAAATATTACATCTACACTCTAATGAGGTAACACAGCTCGGTGTCATGGGGCTTTGGGGCTAACCCTGGAGGTTCCGATGTCATGGCCACGGGACATGGCGCTGATGTGGCACGGGAGTCGGCGTCGAGCTCGGCGTTGTCTCTTGGGGCTGACGTCATATTCATCTACAAAAGATGAGCTCCTGCTGCTCTCTTTTCCACGGAGTATGCATCAACTTGTGAATTGAGTGTGGATCCATCTGAAGGGAATTGAGTGTTGGCGCTCCTCTGTTTTGTCCGTCGAGTGCACATATCAGGAGCAGCCTTGTTGTTGCACGTGGACGGAAGAAAAGAACTCGTTTGGATTCATCCGCCACAGCATTGTTGTGGTGGAAAATTCCCTTCCATTGCCTGGCGATTGAATCACATGGACTTGACTGCTACTCCCTCCTTTCCAAATTATTATCGTTTTGGCTTTCCTAGATACATTGTATTTACTATGCACATAGATATACACTATATCTAGATACATAGTAAAAGCAATGTATCTAAAAAATCAAAACGTTTTATAATTTAGAATGAATTTAGTACTAGAAATGATATAGATGACCGCGCCAGGCGATCCAAACACTGCCACTTGCCTGCCAAGAATGTTGACGTTTGCATCAGGGTTGTTGCATTCATTGTTTAAGTTGTCCACTTACTCTTTTCGTCCCCAAATAAATCAATTCCTAAAATCCGTGTCAGTCAAACTTTTTTGATTAACTTTATAAAAAAGAGTAACGACATCCATGTCTTAAATTAAGCACCTTATGAAAATATATTCTATGATAAATCTAACGATACTTATTTGATACCATGAGTCTTAATGTTTTTTAAGAAATTTGGTCAAAGTTTTAAAAAATTAACTTAAGATAACTCTATGAATCAATCTATCTATGAGAGTATCGTGGTTCCTCCTTTTTCGAAGTCATGACCATTGTTGCACGCATACATATAGGCATGGGGATGCAAGACATAGGGGAAATGCGGCATATACAGATCGTATTAGTTGAGCATCTAGGGACGGTGAGTCCATTGACATACCAAGTCGTTTCTTTAGTCTTTTCATTTTATCCTTGTATCCAACAACATGCCATCGTCGTTCAATTCGAAGCAAGAGATTAGAAAATATTAGCAACATTTGTATCTCCAAATAAATTCATTATGAAAATATATTCAACGATCTATGTCAGATCGTTCCCTCATGGAGGCTTCGGGGTGGGGCTGGAGAGGGTGGTGATGCTCTTGGGCGGCCTCAAAAACACCAGGATGACGTCGCTGTTCCCTGCCATCCGCACAGGCTCAATCCATAGTCATCGCCACCATCTTGGTTTCTCCACATCGTCAGCATCATAGGTTGTTGCCATATTCAGAGTTTCAGACTGCCTGCGTTTGTTACTGCACTAGCTGAAAGGCGAAGTAAATGTCAATCTTTTCGGCAGCAATGCGGGGCACTCCTGCTGCTATGGATTAAAGTTGCCCCTCTTTTTGGGGTGGCTGTTGATCGCTATGCGATAACAGACCAAAGCATCGTCGCCTTTTCATCATACTCAAAAAAAATGTCGCAATAAGATCTTTTGGTTATCGATCTAGTAAAGTGACAAGTAAACGTGATGCATTCAATGGCTAGGATCTGTTGGTTATCGACAAAATGATATGTAACAAACACGAAGCAATGAAGGGCATTTGGTCTAGTGGTATGATTCTCGCTTAGGGTGCGAGAGGTCCCGAGTTCAATTCTCGGAATGCCCCATTTTTTTATTGTTACAATTTTTTTACCCACTTCAACCACCAGCCAGCTTTTTTCCCACCTCAAGATAGACGGTAACTAATTTAACCCATTCTTGGAAAGCGGTAAGAATGATAGCCTGCATCACAATTTTCCTGCAGCAACATCTCATTGCATGTTTGCAACTGTTCGAATTGTAAATCTAACGGAATACTACAATTGATCCAGCTGAAGAAAACTGTAAATTTCACTCACTCAACTGAGGCTAAGGTTCCTGCATTTATTTCTGCTACAAGCAAACCGAATCCGTGGTTCTTATGGGGAACCATGCTTGCTTCAAATAACCACATATTTCCTACTACAAAATGTCATGCAAAGCTTTCTTGCTGTTCTTTGATGTGCACATTAGGGGTCTAGGGGAACGCAAATTTTATGCTGATACAAATAACGCACACCAAAATGTTTCAGCTCGGAACATCTAATTTACAATGGCTGAGAGGCAAACTAGTCACAGAATCCAAATCTAAAAAAGAAAAGAAAAAATAAGGACATTCTTGGGCATGGATGAATCTCTCACAGACGAGGCTTCATGGTGTTACGGTTGTCCAACGAACTTGCAATCGCTTGGAATTTGTAATCATCCACTGAAAGTAAGGGAAGAAGGAACTATTAAGTAGCTGCCATTCATTATGATCAGTCAGTGGATGCGCATACTGTGGCCAGATAAAACTGATCTCAGCATATATCAAATTGATTGTGTCACAGTTCTTGCACAAATCAAAGATCTAACAGTGTTTGCAGCCTTGATGAGAGGAGGAACCGAGGCAGAACTCTTAAAAATGTTGAAACAGTTTATTGTTTGTTGAATAAACAACAGAACTGAAATACTTCAAACTTTCAAAGATAATGAAACTAAATCTTGGTAAGTAATAAGAAAAATGTCATAAGATGAAACCTATGTCAACACCTGAGATAAAAAGGGGTGGTTTCTACAGGTTGAGGAAGAAGCGGGAAGGACGAGGAGGGGACGCAACTGGAATCAATTGTGCAGAAATTACGATTGAAGGGAAGCTTGCTCTTTGGACAAACCTTACTATGTCTTTGTCAGAACAATATCACGCATCAAGCTATCTGGAGCTGTATGGCGAGCCATGTGAGAAATGGTGTAAGATGTACTAATGACTATTGCTTAATCATGAAATGAAATATGAAAAGGCCAATCAAAGTACCTGGCATGCCTGTGAAATGCTCAAACTGGCCCATAGCTTGCCGTATAAACATCTCCAGACCACTAACAACTGTAGCTCCGCACTCTGCAGCTTCTCGGAGAAGTCTTGTCTCTTTTGGTGTGTACACCGCATCAAACACAACAGCATAAGATTTGAGTGCTTGCTGCAAGATAATACTTAGTCAGTAGACTAGCAGAAGAAGACAGAATATCTCTATTAAAATTGGCAAAAACAAAAACAGGTAAGCTAGATTAAGACCTTAGATAAAGGAGTTTCATTCACATTTGGATGCATTCCAATGGCTGTTGTATTTGCAAGAATCATCCCTTCCTCTGGATGGTAGTTTTCCAAATCCGCCAGACTCAACGCAGGCCCACCAATTAAGTTGGCAAGTTCTTGTGCACGTGCTGGAAAGTGGAAGAGTTGACTCAGTTCTCAACGTATACATGTTTCTCAATCACATTTTCACAACACAGCAATCAGTGTGTGCAAATTAATGATAAAAATCAACGAAGCAGAAGTGTCCAGAAGAGTCCTATACCAAAAGTACGGTTTGCAATTACAACTCTTGCTCCCTTCTCTTTTGCTCCATATGCCAGTGCTTTTCCTGCGCCGCCAGCCCCGATGACAACAAAAAGCCTTCCAGCCAGTGGTGATGTGTCTGGATCCCTTTGTTCGAATGCTGCAAATCGGCCTTTTAGAACTGAACATCGATCAGCAATAATTTACCAATACCATAGTCACGTGTAGAAACCTCTTATTCCATCCTCGATAGCAGATATAGCTCCAACATAGTCAGTATTATAGCCAACAAGCTTTCCATCAGGTCTTCTAACGATTGTGTTAACAGCTCCGATGTCCTGGATAAAGCATCATACTTCTGAATGTAATCCTAGGTGTGCTAAAATGTTCAGCAGTTCTTTACGTGACAAGCAAAAGAAAATTACCCTGGCAATGGGATCAACCTCATCACAGCACCTAACAGCAGCTTCTTTATGGGGAATTGTGCAACTGTGGTCCAGTTGATTTGATGGAAAGAAAAAAAAGGTCTGATCAGATATGAGGTACATTTGGCTAAAACAAACATCATTGCAACATATGATTTGGCTCACTAAAAAATTAACTACCTGAAGCCAGCAAAATCTGGTGAAGAGTATGTATTAAGAAATTTAGCCAAGTCATCCACCAAAAATGGCACATACACAGCGTTGAAACCCACTGATCTGAAAGCTTCATTATGCAAAATTGGGCTTTTGCTATGGCCAACCGGCTTCCCAATGATACCAAAGACCTTAGTGTCTGGGCCTATCTGCCTAATATTGTACACATTTATCAAGTCTGCAGCCGTTGGCTGTGCAGGTGCAGACTCTTTTCCTTTCTTGAGAGACCCAAAAGTAAGGAATCCACCATATTTTGGGCAAAGAACCCGAGAAATAAAACCTCGGTCATTCATCACCAGCCCAATGATTGGCACCTGCTTTTCCTAATTCATTATTCAGATACAAGATAACATGAGCTATGAGTTATGTAAAGGCAACTGAGGAATGAAGCATGGAAATCAACACACAGCACAAAACCTTTGTCAAGAGAAAAGCTCTAAACCGATATTTGTGCATCATAAGTGTGTTCTTAATTAAGAAGTTCACCGACCGTCTTGTGCTGCTGTGCTAAAGATTATGATATCAAAATGTGTAATTACTTTTAACAGCTATTACAGTAGAAACAAAGCACCAAGCAGATATCTTTAATTTTTTAGGTGACAAATCAGATATTTGCACCAAAGAGTAGAAATTGAAATTTTAGCTAAGTTAAATACAGAGTGTAATTTCAGTCTAGTTCCCATTGAAATTCAAGTTCATTGGCCAGCAGTAACAATGGTTTTATCATAGTACAACTCACTTGATAAAATGGTAGCTAAGAAGCTTTTTCTCAAAGTAGCAGATTGCTGGGAGGCTACGAACAGTACGTATTTGTTGACAAACCAACACTATAATATGACAACAAAGTATCAGCAGCAAATCGCATGTCACAGAGCAATAAACAATAGTGAGATAGACTAAACTCCTAGGAAATGCAAACTGAAATTCCATGAACAAAATTCATATATGCAGAAGTGAAAAATAGTCAGATGCTAAATCACCTGGCAATGAACAAGTATTTGAAACATTTTTGCCACATCAACAATTTCAGTAGCAGTTGTAGCTATTTTCACGATATCAGCCCCCGTTGCTTGAATCTGAGCCACCAAATTTGCAAGTTCTTCGGATGATGGAGTGCTCTCATAGTTGTGGGATGAAACTATAAGTTTACAGTTATCAGGTTTCCTCCCAGAAATAAGTTTCATAAATTTGTCAGCCACCTGCACAACACAATGTAATGATCAACTCCAGACTCACCCTCACTGGTTTAAAGGAAAGCAGGGCTAATTGACATTATCAGTACATGAATATCGAGCATCTTTTACTAATATTTTAGTACCTGTTTCATATCATTACTATCTTTTTTTTTCAAGTGGCTCTTGTTGGGTTTCATCTCTAGCCTACGCTAACTTGGTTATCAGAAGACTATTATTTTTAATGACACATAATAACCAAACAAGCTTAACAACTGACCAGCTGTGGACAGGGATTCAAATCAGTGCCTGTGTCTCATAGGGTTGAAAGTCATGAGAATATCGAAATCTCAAATACCTAATAATCAACTAGAATTGCACTACACCCAAGTTACAAGATTATATTTGTCGGCACTGAGCCACCAAGAAAAAAAAAATAGTGCAGTAAAATACAGAAATACAATTTTTTATTGACTTCATGAAGTGAAAGAAAAATAGGGGAAGAGCCAACCTTAAGCTCAACATCCACATATTCAGCTCCCAGCTCCATTGCCAATAACAAAGCCTCAAACCGCGATTCGTCATCGCCTTCGTATTCGCCCCCTTCCCACTTGGGCCTGTGCAACCAAAACCAAGCAACACTCACTTTGCTTAGTAACACTGCAATAACTGAAATGTTGATACAAAATTAGCCCCCATTTTGCTCCACTCAATTACACTAGACGTCTAAACTAAACCAGCTGAAACCTCTGTAAATGCCTTACGATTCCCCCAATCGAATCCGGAATCGGAATGCGCCAAAAAGCTGCCTCCAAGGAGAAGGAAGAACCTAATCCCCTGCACGCCCACCAACCCTGAGGCAGGGAGGCCAGGCGCTGACGAACCGAACCCACACCCACCTGTAGGTGACGAGGGCGGGGAGCGGGCGGGGCTTGGCGAGGATGACGGGCAGGTCCCTGCGCGGCGCGAACCCAGCAAGGCAGTCGAGGCGGAGCTCCGCCAGGTCGGCGCCGAGCGCGGCGGCGGCGGCCAGCTCCTCCGCCATCTCCCGCGGCGCCCGCGCCGTCGCCGGCACGCAGACCATCGTCCGCCGCCGCGCCACCGCCGCGGCGGCCGGGGTCACTGCCGAAACCGACATCGCCGTCGCCATCGGGGGAAGCCGGCGGCTTTGCGTCGCGGTTGGTGCGAGGAGGAACGGAGGAAGAGGGGGTTAGCTGCAGTTTCGGTGGGTTGGTGGTGGAGGTGGACTGTCTATGTGGGTGCCGCCGGCGCAGCTTCGTTCGCGCTGTGGGGCCGGCGGAATACAACGTGGCGCGTCGCGATTGGTTTGAATCGTAGGTGCATGGAACACATGGGCACGCCCGTCGAAGTGCGCGATCAAATTAGAGATTTTTTCGCGTATGCGATTATAAAGATCGTAATTCATACGTGTCATTGGAAAAATTTAGCGGTCTTGGTATCGCTTACTTTGATTTTTCGTCATAAAATGCAAATTAGTTCAATTCGATTCTATAATATATATAATTATTGTTTAATTCCGTGAAAAATATGATGATTTTTCTAAGATATATTAATTATATCAAATCATATTTTTTTATGAATTAAATGAAAATAATTTTTATATGAAAGTTATAGATCTCGATTTAGATCTACAACTTTCTAGTTTTGAGTTTTTTCATTTTCCAAGTCGTTAAGATGCTCAAAAAAATTAATAACATATTTGAACTTAAGGGCATTTTTATTTTTTCACACTCACGAGTAGCTTGACGCGTTGAAATAGAGCCTCGAATCGACGGAAGTGGCATAGAGGACCCGAAAAAGTTAGAGTAGTGGCGCTGAAGACCGCTGAATTTTTTCAGGGGTACACAGGGGATTACGATCTTTTATAATGGCACACAGGGAAAAGTCTCATCAAATTACTCAAATCAAATGTAAAAAAAAATGTTTATTCAGGAAACGATTCTCTGAATCCAAATCTTGAAGGGAATATGGAACTGGTGCACGTCTGCATTTGGATATGACAGATAAATTCTTAGCAATGTCGATCCAAAACACATTAACATGACCAATTCATCAACCTGAAAACCAAAACATCTTTGCATTGTTCAACTAGAGCATATTGTTTACTGAACAACAGGCGAGTCCAAAACCCTGGAGGAATGCGATGTGATGAAAACGACACTGCATCATTGCAGGCAGCAAGAGAAACAGGATGAGGCCGAAACCTGCATCTCCTCCCCGCTTGTGTTGAAGAATCATCAATCAAATACGGTGCTTCCCAGACGTCGAGGAAGAAGCAGGAAGGAGGACATATGTACAACTGGAACCATTTTTGCAGAAACCATGATATCTGCAGAGACCTTGTTATCTGGACACCCCTCAATGTGTCTTTGTCAGGATAGCCTCACGCATCAACTTTTCTGGAGCTGTAGGGTGAGTTCATTGGGAAATTTTTATAAGACGAACCGACATTATCTTTCTGGACAATGATAAATGGAATGAGAAGTACCTGTCATGCCCCCTGTGAAAAGCTTAAACTGAACCATCACTAGCCTGACTAGCATCTCCAGACCGTCAATAACCGTGGCTCCACACGCTGCAGCTTCTCGGAGAAGTCTAGTCTCTCGTGGCACGAAGACCGCATCAAAGACAACGGCATAGGATTTTAGTGCTTCCTGCAGGATCATCATGCGTCGATACACAAAATTAGAAAAAGCCAGAATATACTGGTAACAGATGACGGTTCAATTAGTAAAGCGAGTCTAAGACCTTAGATAACGGAATTTCATCGACATTTGGATGCATCCCAACAGATGTTGCATTTGCAAGAATCATCCCTTCCTCAGGATGGTAGTTTTCCAACTCTGACAGGGTCAAAGCAGTCCCACCAATTATGTTGGCAAGTTCTTGAGCTCGTGCTGGAAAGTTTGAAATCTCATTGCATTCAATCACATTTTTATCTTACAAAAGGATATTAGGCGGCCAAGAAAAGTTTCAGAGCAAATAAAATGCTAGAAAACATGACTAGAACATAATGGAATTTCCAAAGGCTAATAAGTGCACATTGAATAAGCATCTAGTCTATATACTGGGAATAATCGCTAACTTTGGAGTTTGGAGTTTGGACCCAAAATAGGTTAAGGTCTGCAAGGCCTAACTTACAAATCGTGGCCTCATTTTAAAAATCAAATACACAAGTTGTCATAGTCATAGAGGAGTTATATCTAATGTGAATGCTTAGCTTTGAGATATAAGGCAATGCCAATAGACAAGATATTGTAAAATTTGATTAAAAGATCATGAATTGTCAGTATTCAGTGAAATAAATTGCTTATAAGATCACATCCTAGACACTATAAAATGTGGATGCCTATCATGTAAACTATGCAGTTGTATGATTAAATTTGTTGAGTAGAATCATCCTGAAGAAATAAATACCAAATGTACGGTTTGCAATCACAACTCTTGCTCCCTTCTCTTTTGCACCATATGCTAGTGCTTTCCCTGCACCACCAGCCCCAATAACAACAAAAAGCCTTCCAGCCAGTGGCGAAGTGGTCGAATCTGTTGGTTGTGATGCTACAAATGGGGTTAAAAGGCAGTTACACGAACCATATATAGATCAGCAAAATACAATATTGTAAGTGGTGGCATGTGGAAACCTCTTATTCCATCCTCAATAGCAGAAATAGCACCAGAATAGTCCGTATTGTATCCTACAAGTTTTCCATCAGGCCTTCTAATAATTGTATTAATAGCTCCAATGTCCTGGAGAAGGTGTCTTTCTTACAAATGTTACTCTTGGTGTGTGTATTTTTTCATAGAATACATAGGAGAAGAAATGGGAATGAAATTACCCTGGCAATAGGGTCGACATCGTCACAGCACCTAAGTGCTGTTTCCTTATGGGGCATTGTGCAACTACAGTTCAATTAATTGGATCAAGAAAGTATTGGATGGTCAGACATGGGGGATAGACTATAAAATTGAGTAAATAAGGATATAGCAAAAAATCATTGCAACAAATTATGATTTTACCTGAAGCCGGCATAATCTGGTGCTGAGAAGGTAGAAAGAAACTTAACCAAGTCATCTGACAAAAATGGCAAAAACACAGCATCGAAACCCACTGATCTGAAAGCTTGATTTTGCACAATTGGGCTTTTACTATGGCTAACTGGATTTCCAATAATACCAAAGACCTTAGTATCTGGGCCTATCTGCCTAATTTTGTACTTATTTATCAAGTCTGATACCGTCGGCTGCCCGGGGGCAGATTCTTTTCCTTTCTCAAGAGATGCAAAAGTAAGGTATCCGCCATATTTTGCGCAAAGAATCCGAGAAATAAAACCCTGTTCTTTCATCACCAGCCCAATGATAGGAACCTGCTTTTCCTAGCTCATTATTCAAATAAAAAGATCATGTGAACTGGGAATCATAGAAACTGAAAAATGAAGCATTGAAACTAACACATAGGATAATATATTTTTGTGTGGAAACCACTACACCATCATTTGTGCATATCCCTAGTGCAATCTTACCATCATATATATGATTCATGGAAGGAGGCTTTGAAAAAGAAATTTCCCTCGGGTGAAATATTCCCTCAGAAAATAAATAGTTCAATGGCTACAGGCTGTCAAGGGCCTTGACGTCTAGGGTAGGAGGCCCTCGGCTACGGAGATTGTAGCCTCGGTCCGTCGTCTTCTCCGGCGAGGTTATGCCCCTCTTCCGTAGGCTTAGATGAGAGGCGAGAGAGAGATTAGGAATAATAATCTTGCTTGCCTTTATCGTCTGGTTACAAGACTCAAATAGCCCTCAGGCTGAACCAACCATGCCTATAATTAAGGAATAAATAAGGAAACTAATCTCTTATTTTCTAATCTTAGCCACTCACGGTGGCCACCTCAGCCGCACGCTAGGCTCGCTCTGTGGCCCGGCGCACATCACGCGCCCGACGGCGTCGCACATACGTGCGTCCCCACATGACATCTCTCCCCTCCTCGGAAGACAGCTCGTCCTCGAGCTGGAAGTCTGGGTACTTGTCGGTGAAGGCTTCAGCGTCTTCCCAGGTCGCCGAAGCCGGGGACTCGCCCTTCCACTGGATCAGCAGCTGACGCACCCCTCGGGCGAGGCGCATCTTGACTGCGCGTTCAGGCTCCGGAACCACCGCACCATGGTGAACCGCAGGCAGGGCTGGTGGAGCATCCGGCGGCGAGCCATGGAATTTCTTGAGGAGGCCGATGTGGAAGACGTCGTGCAGGCGGGCTCGGGGTGGCAGGGCGAGGCGAACAGCGACGTCGTTGAGGGGCTCCGTGACGCGATAGGGGCCGTAGAAGCGTGGCCGCAGCTTGCCGGTGACGGTCTGTGGTAGTGAGGACGCCGCGCGCTGCCGGAGCCGTAAAAGTGCCCAGTCCCCCACCTGATACGATACATGGCGATGCGTCTTGTCATAGTGGCGCTTTTGGACCGCCTATGCTTGCTGGAGTCGGGCGCGGATGTCAGCGAGAAATTCATCTCGCTCTTCCAAGGTCTTGGCGACGGCGGCCACCCTGGTGTCTCCTGGCTCATATGACCGGATGGACGGAGGATCGCGACCGTAGACGACGCGGAACGGCGTGTCCTGCAGTGACGTCTGGTAGGCGGTGTTGAAGACGTACTCCGCCCACGGGAGCCACTGGAGCCACTGCCGCGGCCGATCTCCGGTGAGACATCGCAGGTACATGATGATGACGCGGTTGGCCGACTCGGACTGCCCATCGGACTGAGGGTGAAAGGCCGTCGTCATGTGCAATTTGGTGCCAACCAGCCGCATCAGCTCGCGCCAGAAGTTGGAGGTGAAGACCGTGTCCCTGTCCGACACGATGGACTGTGGCACGCCATGGAGGCGGACGATATCGGCGAAGAAAGCCTGGGCGACGGACTCCGCGGAGTACGGGTGGGACAGAGGGATGAAGTGGCAGTACTTGCTGAACCTGTCCACCACCGTCAAGATGACCGACTTGCCCCGGACACGTGGCAGCGCCTCAACAAAGTCTAGGGCGATGTCAGTCCAGACTCCCTGTGGCACGGGCAGCGGGAGAAGAAGGCCGGCCGGGTGTAGATGCTCCGACTTGTAGCGCTGGCACGTAGGGCATGCCCGTACCCAAT